CACAGGGCTACAACGGGGCCACGAAGGGCACCGAGGGGGCCACGAGGAGCTGCAACGGGGCCACGAAGGGCAGCGAGGGGCAGCGAAGGGGCCACGAAGGGCTGCAATTGGGCCACGAAGGGCAGCGAGGGGACCACGAAGAGCGGCAACGGGACCACGAAGGGCAGCGAGGGGGCCACGAAGGGCGGCAGCGGGGCCACGAAGGGCAACGAGGGGGGCTTGAAGGGCTGCAGCGGGTCCATGAAGGGCAGCGACGGGGCCACGAAGGGCTGCAACGGGTCCACGGAGGGCAGCGACGGGGCCACGAAGTGCTACAACGGGGCCACGAAAGGCAACGAGATCCCGATTCCTAAATAATCTGCGAGGGAGTCTCCGGCGTGAACGCGACTCCTGGGTGCCTGAATGTCGGGAGCGCGGCGCTTGAGCAAATTGCGGGAAATTCTGACGCAAGGGCGTTATTTTTTAGTAAATTGCAAGCAAGTCTCCAGCGAGAGCTCGACTCCAGAGCACCGAGAGAGCGATTCCTGAATGAATTGCGAAGAAGTGCAACGCGAGAGCGCGATTCCGGAATAAAATTCGAGAAGTCTCAGGTGGGAGCAGGGTTTCTGGCTAAATTGTGAGGAAGTATCAGGCGGGAGCCGCTGTTGTTGTAACCGGGAGGACAACAACACAGTTTGAGGAGAAAGACTTTCCCTGACATATATACATACATTTATATATATATATATATATATATATAAACATATATATATATATATATAATGCGAGCGCTGGGAGGGGCACCCCAATTGAAAAATATCAATGTGCACTGGACGGGGTATCAACCATACTTATTCTTCAGACATGAAAATTCAACGACAATCATGTTAGTGCTGTTCGCTCCGATTTGCTCGCGTGCCATTCAACACGTATATCCCAAACCCTCTGTTCCCGCCCTATTCGTCTTCGATCGTACCCCCGTAGGGGTAAATGTTCTTACCTACCACGCGCATGGTGCGCAGCCCCTAGAACACGGAAGTTGAGGACGGATGGAAGGGGGATGGGGAAGGATGAAGCACGAGAGAAATTAGCAGGAACTGGGCTAGGAGCAGGAAAAAAAACGCTGCAGAACCAGACGGGCAGATCGGGCGGGCAGACTCTAGCGGGCGGGTCAGGAAGGCTGGCCCAGGCGATCATGTCGAGCAGGCGGGTTGCCGAAGCGTGAATCCTGTATGAATAGCGAGGAAGTCTCGAGCAACAGCGCGGTTCAAAAGCAAATCGCGAGAAAGGCAAAAACGAGAGAGTGACTCCTGTGTGCCGAGGGCGCGGCGTCTGAATAATTGTGATGAAACCCCAACGCGAGAGCGCGCTTCCTGCATAACTTGTGAGCAAGTCCCGCGCGAGAGCGCGATTTCAGAATTCACTGTGGGGAAGTATCCGGCGAGAGCCGTTGTTGTAGCCCGCGGGCCAGGGGCCCAGTTTGAGCAGGAAGACTTCCCCTGATAAAATTATCCCAGTGCGACCCTACCTAGGAGTTGGAGCATTTAGGAAAGCAGCATCTACATCTACACCGACAGCTACATTTACATCTACACCTGCATCTACATCTACATCAACATCAACAGCGAGACTCACATCTACATCTACATCTACACCTACATCTTCACCTACACCTACATATACGCTATGCTATGCTTTGTTATGCTGCCCTATGCTGCGCTATGCTATGATTTGCTATGCTAGTGTACGCTCGGCTGCGCTGTGTTATGCTAGGCTATGATATGGCATGCTATGCTGCGATATGCTATGCTATGCTGCGCTATGCTATGCTATGCAATGCTGCGCTATGCTGTGTTATGATATGCTATGCTGCGCTATGCGATGCTACTAGGCTATGAATTGATATGTTATGCTGCGCTATGCTATGCTATGTTATGCTATGATATGCTGCGCAATGCTGTGCTATGCTATGTTGTGTTGTGTGTTGCTATGCTATGCTGCGCTGTGCTATGCTAAGCAATGCTATGCAATGCTATTAAATGCTATGCTGCGCTATGCTATGCTATGCTATGCTATGTTATGCTGAGCTGTGTTATGCTATGCTATGATATGCTTTGCTATGCTTGGCTATGCTATGATATGCTATGCGGTGCTAATGCTGCGCTGCGCTATGCTGCGCTGCGCTACGCTAAGCTAAGATAAGTTAAGCTATGCTAAGCTAAGCTAAGCTAAGCTAGGCTAGACTAGGCTAAGTTGGGCTAAGCTAAGCTAAGCTAAGCCAAGCCACGCTAAGCTAAGCTAAGCTTAGCTTAGCTAAGCTCAGCTAAGCTCAGCTAAGCTTAGCTAAGATGAGATAAGTTAAGCTAAGCTAAGCTTAGCTAAGCTAAGCTAAGCTAAGCTAGGCTAGGCAAAGCTAAGCTGAGCTAAGCTAAGATGAGATAAGCTAAGTTAAGCTAAGCTAAGCGAAAGTAAGCTAAGCTAAGCTAAGCCAAGCTGAACTGGGTGAACCCAGGGGGGCGCAACTGGGGTAACCGCGGGGCGGATGCCGGGGGAACCGCCCGGGGCGAGGAACACTGCCCAGCACTTTCAGCATATAAAGTAAGACCCTTCTATGCAGAGCCCAGGTAAGGAACAAGGTGCGGGCCCCGAGGGGACACTTCAATCCAAAATCTAAAATGGTTACCAGAAAAGGGGGGTCAACAATACTTATTCTTCAAGAATGAGAATTCAACAACAACAACAACAAAAACAACAACAACCACCGCCACCACAACAACAACAAAGGCAGCAGCAGCAGCAAGCAAGCAACAAACCACATTACCACAAACCACAGGCCACCAACAATTAACCGAAAACAACAGCAACAACAAGAACAACAACACCGATAACAATAAGAACAACAACACCAACAACAAGAGCAGCAACAACAACAACAACAACAACAATAACAATCATCAGAAGACTGGCTTCTCTTGTCTACTTGCGTGCCATCCGACACGTATATCCCAAACCCTCGACACCCGCCCTCTTCATTTTCGATCGTACCCCCGTGGGGGTATATCTTTCTCGGCTGTCACGTGTATCTTGTGCAGCCCCCAAGGCAAGGGAAAAGAGGACGGATGGAAGCAAGGGACAGGGGGGAGGAGGATGGAACACGAGAGAGAATAGCATGAGGGGGGCTAAGAGCAGAAAACACGTGGCAGAACCATACGGGCTGATCGGGCGGGTAGACCCTAACGGGTGGGTCGGGAAGGCGGGCCCAAGCGACCAGGTCGAGCAGGCGGGTTGCTGAAGCGTGGGTGCTGCATGAATCGCAAGGAAATCTCGAGCAACAGCGCGAGTCCCAAATGAGTTGTAAGACATCAACAGAAAGAGCGTGATTCTTGAGTATCGAGGGCGCGGCGTTGGAATAAATTACGAAAAGTCCCACGAGTGAGCGCGATTCCTATATGCATTGTGAGGAGGTCCCTCGCGAGAGCGCGATTGCGAAATAAATTGTGGGGAAGTATCAGGCGGAAGCCGCTGTTGTTGTAAACCAGAGGCCAGGTGCACAAGTTGGCGGCACCTCATGTTCCCTTCTAAAAAACAAGGTGCGAGCCCCAGGAGAAGCACTTTAATTGAAAAATACAATTGTTACTGGGCAGGGGGGGTCATCAATAGTTATTGTTTAGAAATGAGAACTCCTGATCCACACCAACAACAATAACAACAACAAAAACAAACAGTACAATAACAACAACAACCAAACCAAAAACAAAACAACAGCAGCAGCACCAACAACATCAACAACAACCATAATTTAAAGACTGTTCGCTCCTATCTGCTCGCGTGCCATTCGCCACGTATATCCCAAACCCTCGGTGCCCACCCTCTTCGTTTTCGATCGTACCCCCTTGGGGTATATCTTCTGTACCTGTCACGTGCAATTGAATGGCGCAGGCCCTAAGTAGGGGAAGAGAGGACGGATGGAAGGGGGACGGAGAAGGATGAAGCACGAGAGAAACTAGCAGGAGGGGGGCTAGGAGCGGAAAGCGCGTTGCAGAACCAGACGGGGCAGACACTAGCGGGCGGATCGGGAAGGCGGGCCCAGGCGACCAGGTCGAGCAGGCGGGTTGCTGAAGCGTGAGTCGCGCATGAATCGCGAGAAAAACCCAAGCGACAGAGCGATTCCCAAGTGAATCGTGAGAGCGGCCAAGGCGAAAGCGCAATTCCTGAGCGTCGAGGGCGCGGCGTTGGAATAAATTGCGAGGAAGTGCCACGCGAGAGCGCGATTCCTGCATACATTGTGAGGGAGTCCCGCACGAGAGCGCGATTTCGGAAAAAATGTGGGGAAGTATCAGACGGGAGCCGCTGTCGTTACACACTGGGGGTCAACAACACAGTCTGAACCCCAAGACTTACCTGTACACAACCGGCTGCGAGCCCCCAGAGGAGCACTTCAACACAAAAAACACTGTGGGCACCGGGCAGAGGGAGATCAACAAGAATGATTCATTGAGTATTGGGAGCTCAACAGCAGCAACAACAACAACAACAAAAACAAAAACAACAACAGCATCAACATCTCCATCACCATCACCATCGTCACCATCGTCACCATCGTCACCATCGTCATCATCATCAACAACAAAATCATCATCATTAGCTTCATCATCACCATCACCATCCCCGTCACCATGACCACCAGAATCATCATCAGCAGCAGCATCTCTATCATCCTCCTCATCATCATCATCAGCAGCAGCATCATCATCACCATCAGCATCATCAGCATCATCATGATAATCAGCATCATCATCAGCATCATCAGCAGCCGCATCCTCATCACCATTCTCATCATCGTCCTCGTCCTCATCCTCATCCTCATCTTTCTCCTCGCCTCCCCTGCCGCCTCCTCCTCGTCCGCCTACATCTCCCCCGCTCACCAACGATCGCCAGGGAGGTGGCTGGCAGGGGCAGCCACGCGAGGCAGCATGCCGCCGATCGGGGGCCACATGCCCACCGCCCCCTGGGCCGGCGGCACGTCGCCCGCGGAGGCGGCCCGGAAGACGGCGAAGCCGTGCTCGTGGAAGAAGCGGCGCGACCTTTGTGAGGGGCAGCGGTGAGGGGGGGGCGGGAGGGGGCTCAGGGGGAGGGAGGGGGGTGAACCATCGAGGTGGAATCGGTGATGCATTGCCGAGACTCTGGCGCTGGGCCCCCGACACCATGAGCCCGTCCCCCCCCAACGGTGCACCTGACCGTGGCTCACAGACATCACATCTTGCAAGTTTGCGCGCGGCCTCGGGCGGCTCCTGGAGGCCTTCTGGCTTGAGTAGGGCTGGAGGGTGCAGATCACCCCAAACGGGCGTCAAGGGGCGCAACCAACCTGTTCGGTCAGGCTGAAACGGATACACCCTACCCGGCGTCAAGCCAAAACTTTGGACATAAGCGAATGGATGGATTTTGCTGCTTAACCGGCGAGGCGTTGAACCACCTTGACGTCCCTTTTTCGGTGGTCCTGATGATGCGCCTGTTTTCCACACCACCACCACCACCACCACCACCACCACCACCACCACCATAAGTTGGAGGGGGGAAGAAGGTGGAGAACGAGGAGGAGGAGGAGGAGGAGGCGGAGAAGGAGGAGGAGGAGGAGGAGGAGGAGGGGGAGAGGAGGAGGAGCCCCTCCCACTCCAACTTATAGTGGTGGTGGTGGAAAACAGGCCCATCACCTGAAGAGGAAGGCGCTCTCTGACCCTCGGCCCTACTCAACTTCTGGCCTCGGGGCCCTTCCTGCCGCGGCGCCTCGCCGAGGCCATTGCGAACATTTTCTTGTTCGGCGCTTCAACAATGGGCGGAAGGGGGGGGGAGGAGGGCGGGGGCCTGGCTCCGGACCTCTGCTTAATGCGACTGCTTGCAGCAGTGCGTCCTGTGGGGCAGACTCCACCTGCTCGAAACAGTCGCGAAAAACAGCCCAGATCTACTCCATGGAGGGGGGGAGGGGGGGAGGGGGGCAAGGGCCCGCGCCGATCGGCAAAACACTGAATAAGAAAACGACGACATTGTGGGTGTGCCCGAGTCGTCCCGAGCGTCCAGCGGAAACGCGAGCTATAGCCCGAGCGAGAACCAGGCATCCAACGTCTTGAAAAAAACAATGCGGAAGCTTCTCGTCGATTTCGGCCTCTGGAGTTTCTTGCCGGGCCCCTGGAAGCGCCACCTCATCCTCCTCCTCCTCTTCCTCCTCCTGCTCCTCCTTCTGCTCCTCCTCCCCCTCCCTCGCCCTCCTCCTCCTCCTCCTCCTCCTCCTCCTCCTCCTCCTCCTCCTCCTCCTCCTCCTCCTCCTCTTCCTCCTCCTCCTCCTCCTCCTCCTCCTCCTCCTCCTCCTCGTCCTCCTCCTCGTCCTCCCGTTCTGGAATCTCGGCGAAACGTCAGCCTGGAGAAGTGGCCTCTGCAGGACTTGCTCTTCCACTGCTACAGGCAGCGACGGACCGCGTGGGCACGAGCCCCTTTGGACGCCTGACGCACATTCAGCACCAGCGGGTGCAGCACAGAGCTCATCATCCCCCTCCACGGGAATCCCGCGGATGGACCCAGCGCGCTCCCAAGCCCAGGATCACCGGCATGCCCTCGGAACGTGGACCACTCCTGCTGGGACCGCGCGAGCGCACCGACCGGTCACAGGGACGGTCACCGCAGCCGCCGCGTCGATCAGAGGCCGACGACGGCAACCTCGGGTGGGCCGAAAAGGGTGGCCCGGGAGAGGGGGGGGGCGCATCCTGGCCCGAGGCGTGTGCGCGGACGGGGGGAGGCCAGCGTGCGCGTGGAAAGAAAAAGAGGGAGCCATGTAATCGCGGATAGTTCCTGGCACTGCCCACGATATGCAGCCTCCCCAGTCGTCAACCCACCCTTGTACAGGGCAGGAAATCCAGCCCCCATAAGAGTCACCCTGACAAGCGAAGCCGTTTATTAAGCGCACCCAAGAAAGGAATCGAACAGGGCACGACTGTCTAGTACACGCCCGGGGCCGTTTCGTAAACGTGAATTGTCGGGTGCGGGTTGCTTTTCCTCTCTTGATCTTGGACGCCCCCGAGACCGGATCGGGTCGATTGCGTGCCCAGGCAGAGCAAGGCAGGCGGTCGTGGGCCTAGGCCCTGGATGCTCGGGAGCCCACTCCAGAATGCTCGGCATCGCACGCGCGCGGGGGGGGCTTGTCCGCATGCTCGCGCCGTCCGCGAGGCGGGCCGTGGCATTCTTTTTCCCCAGACATCCAGTCGCTCCAATTCGTTCGATGCGTAGGCCCCGGAAGTCCGGACCACTTCTCTAGGGCCGGTTTTTCGTCCTGAGTCGTTTTGTGACGCTCCCGAAGCCCGGCGAGGGCCCTCAGAGGCAAAAAACAGTCAAAAACCGCCTGCTCCAATTTTTTGGAGCGTCGGACCTCAGGGTCCCCTGCCGCTGTGCGTCCACGGGTGACCTCGACGAGGACCACCCCTGGTGCAAAGCGCGCCCGGATCGCAAGGGCGCGCGGCAGGGATGCACAAGGAAGGCGCTTGGACGCACAGGCTGCCGCCGAGGCTGGCAGCCCCTGCCCCTTGGCTGAGGGTTCGGGCGGTCTGGACGGCAAGGACATGCAAGGGCGCCCGTGGGAGGCTACACAAATCCGTATGATGCGGCTTGACTGTGTGTGATTTAGAATGCCAAGGCCCGTCTTGGACGAGAACAACTTGACATAGCAGTACAATACAGGCGCTTTTCTTAGAAGAGCGCGCCACCTGGGGCCGGGACCCCCCTTCCACCGCCGCCACATCCTCCTCGCCGTCGCCCTCCTCACCCTGATCAACCTCCGCCTTGCTAGTCGCCCTCCTCCTCCTCCTCCACCTGCACGGCATGCTCGTGTCGTGACGACGGCAGCGTCGGTTTGCGACACCGCCTGGGCCATTCCACCTTCAGCGATCGCGGCTTCCCGCGCAGATCGTTCGATACCGGCCAATCCCTGGCCACTGGCGGCGTTCAGCCCTAAACGCCTGCGCTGGGGTCGCCGCCGCGTCGGCACTGGGTGGCGACATCCGAAGGCTACCCCCACCAAACATCGAGTCTCCTGATATCGATAGGAGGCGGGGCAGGTTTCAGATTTCGCCGCGTGCTCGACGAATTCCGAACCCGACCTCCACCGCCCATCGAGTTGCTCGTATCGTTGATCCGCGAGGGTGCAGCCATCGCGCTAACACAGGGAAGGCGAGATAAGAACTGAAGGGACGTTTCTGGCCACGGCTCGCCACGCACACGCACGGGTTCCACCCCCTCCATTGGAAGAGCAGACAGCAGCATGAGCATAAACAGTTGGAGCTCCGCGCGGATTTCTCGGATCCGCGCTGGGCCTCCCTGGCGCGCGGACCGCGCCAGGGGCGGCGCCGGAGGCGCCGCCAGGGGGGCCGCAGCGAGGATCCAAGAAAAAATCCGCGAGGAGCGTCGAAGGTTTATGTGTGCGCCGTCTCTTCCCCATCTCGGCGGCGCGCCCAGGGGGGGTGAGAGGGTGCGGGCCATCTCAGCAGGCTCGGGAGCTCCCCGGCCTCCTGAGAGTTATTCCCCACATGTTTCGTGGGGTTATGGTTTTCTTCCCTGCCGCGGCGCACCCGCGTCTCCTCACCTCCCCTCCTCCTCTTCATTCCTCTCCTCAACCCGCGGTCAACACATGCACGGCAAGTACATGAGACACGCGTCTACATACAGCCGCACGCATGCACACACTCGCACACACAAGACGCATGTTCACTGCATCATACACCCAAGACGTCTGCACAATCCGCGAGGGTCGTCCAAGGCACAGCAGGCATGGCAGATTCTCGACACCATAGGGGGTGCGCAGGGGGTGGTTTCTCACCGCGGCCGCTATCCGTGACGGTCGTCCAGGGCCTACCAGGCAGGGCAGATTCTCGACACCATAGGGGGTGCGCAGGGGGTGGTCTCTCACCGCGGCCGCTATCCGTGACGGTCGTCCAAGGCACAGTAGGCATGGCATATTCTCGACACCATAGAAAGTGCGCAGGGGGTGGTCACTCACCGCGGCCGCTATCCGTGACGGTCGTCCAGGGCACAGCAGGCATGGCATATTCTCGACACCATAGGGGGTGCGCAGGGGGTGGTCTCTCACCGCGGCCGCTATCCGTGACGGTCGTCCAGGGCACCATGGCATATTCTCGACACCAGCAGGCATGGCATTTCTCACCATAGGGGTATATCCGAGGGCACAGCAGGCATGCTCTCGATGGCCTCGACACCATAGGGGGTGCGCAGGGGGTGGTCTCTCACCGCGGCCGCTATCCGTGACGGTCGTCCAGGGCACAGCAGGCATGGCATATTCTCGACACCAGAGGGGGTGCGCAGGGGGTGGTCTCTCACCGCGGCCGCTATCCGTGACGGTCGTCCAGGGCACAGCAGGCATGGCATATTCTCGACACCAGAGGGGGTGCGCAGGGGTGGTCTCTCACCGCGGCCGCTATCCGTGACGGTCGTCCAGGGCACAGCAGGCATGGCATATTCTCGACACCAGAGGGGGTGCGCAGGGGGTGGTCTCTCACCGCGGCCGCTATCCGTGACGGTCGTCCAGGGCACAGCAGGCATGGCATATTCTCGACACCAGAGGGGGTGCGCAGGGGGTGGTCTCTCACCGCGGCCGCTATCCGTGACGGTCGTCCAGGGCACAGCAGGCATGGCATATTCTCGACACCATAGGGGGTGCGCAGGGGGTGGTCTCTCACCGCGGCCGCTATCCGTGACGGTCGTCCAGGGCACAGCAGGCATGGCAGGCGACTCGACACCAGAGGGGGTGCGCAGGGGGTGGTCTCTCACCGCGGCCGCTATCCGTGACGTCGTCCAGGGCACAGCAGGCATGGCATATTCTCGACACCATAGGGGGTGCGCAGGGGGTGGTCTCTCACCGCGGCCGCTATCCGTGACGGTCGTCCAGGGCACAGCAGGCATGGCATATTCTCGACACCATAGGGGGTGCGCAGGGGGTGGTCTCTCACCGCGGCCGCTATCCGTGACGGTCGTCAGGCACAGCAGGCATGGCATATTCTCGACACCATAGGGGGTGCGCAGGGGTGGTCTCTCATCGCGGCTGCTATCCGTGACGGTCGTCCAGGGCACAGCAGGCATGGCATATTCTCGACACCATAGGGGGTGCGCAGGGGGTGGTCTCTCACGACACCGTAGGGGGTGCGCAAGGGGTGATGTGATGTCCGAGTGCGGCCGCTATCAATGACGGTCGTCCTGGGCATAGCAAGAATGGCATCTTCTCGACAGTCTGGGGGGGAGCACGGGGTGGTCTCTCAGCGCGGCCTCTATCCGTGACGGCGGTGCTCAGGGCACATCGGTACGCAAGTTTCCTATCCGGACCGGTCGCGTTCAGGGCACAGGGGAACGCAAGCGAGGTGAGTGTAACCGTCATCAAGAATACGTAGCCCCCTTGGCTCATGCAGGCTCGGACCGTTCGGGTTTGTACTGAGGCGTGCTAGCGCTGGTGACTGTCCGTCAAAGGCGCACCGCTTGTCATGGCGCCCAAATGTGCCATGTCGGCGCTGCCGCCTCCATGCGAGCAGCTCAAGAAGTCAATGTTCAAGCTGGGCGCCGAGATAGCAAAGGGTAGATAATCAGAAATGGGTAGATAATCTAGCCTAGCAAGCGTGGCACTTTCTCGACACCACAGGGGGGGCGCAGGGGGTGGTCTCTCAGCTCGGTCGCTATCCACGACACTGTCGCAAAGCCTACTAGGCGTGGCACTTTCTCGACACCACAGGGGGTGCGCAGGGGGTGGTCTCTCAGCTCGGCCGCTATCCACGACACTGGCGCAAAGCCTAGCACGCGTGGCACTTTCTCGACACCAAAAGGGGTGGGCAAGGGGTGGTCTCTCAGCTCGGCCGCTATCCACGACACTGGCGCAAAGCCTAGCAGGCGTGGCCCTTTCTCGACACCACAGGGGGTGCCTAGCAGGCGTGGCACTTTCTCGACACCACAGGGGGTGCGCAGGGGGTGGTCTCTCAGCTCGGCCGCTATCCACGACACTGGCGCAAATCTAGCAAGCGTGGCACTTTCTCGACACCACAGGGGGTGCGCAGGGGGTGGTCTCTCAGCTCGGTCGCTATCCACGACACTGTCGCAAAGCCTAGTAGGCGTGGCACTTTCTCGACACCACAGGGGGTGCGCAGGGGGTGGTCTCTCAGCTCGGCCGCTATCCACGACACTGGCGCAAAACCTAGCAGGCGTGGCACTTTCTCGACACCACAGGGGGTGCGCAGGGGGTGGTCTCTCAGCTCGGCCGCTATCCACGACACTGGCGCAAAGCCTAGCAGGCGTGGCACTTTCTCGACACCAAAGGGGGTGCGCAGGGGGTGGTCTCTCAGCTCGGCCGCTATCCACGACACTGGCGCAAAGCCTAGCAGGCGTGGCACTTTCTCGACACCAAAGGGGGTGGGCAGGGGGTGGTCTCTCAGCTCGGCCGCTAAACTAAGTATGTGGGGTTCCTCGGTAGCGTAATTCCCAAGCCTCCCCCGAAGACACAGAAAACTCCTCGGAAGGCCCGAGGGAGACACCGAAGACTCCTCAGAAGGCCCGAGGGCTCCTGAGAAGTCCCGCCGCCTTCTGAGAAGGCCTTCTCCTTCTCGCTTCCCCCCCGGGCGCGCCGCCGAATTCGGTTTTTGGGCCATAGCTCGGGTCTCTGGAGGGCGTTCGGGACGATGCGGGCACCCCTGGCACGCCCTCGGCGAGGCGCAGCCGCTGGAACGCATCCCGAGGCTGGAAAACCGCCGACGTCCGAAGACCTCGCACCTCGCACCCGACGCTTCCCCCCCCCCCCCCTCGCTCGCCGGCCGCCGACCCTCACGAGAGCCCCAGGCGGTCGGGAGCCCGGGCGCCACGGCCGCCGCAGCAGGGGCGAGCGCAAGCACGGAGGGGGGGGCGCCGGCAGCAGGGCGGAGCCCCCCCTCCTGCCGCGAGGGGGGGGGGGGGCTGCCGAGGCCGCCGCTCGTCCGGCTCTGCGGCGGCCTGGGCGGCAGGGCCCAGAGAGAGAGAGAGCGAGAGGCCGGGGGGGAGGGAGAGAGCAGGGCTGGAGCTGAGCAGTGTGTGTGTATTTGTTCGTCCTCGTGTTGTCTTCGTTTTTGTTCCTCCGTGCTGCCTCCTCGTTCTACCCTGCTGCTGCGAAGCGGCATCGGCACGAAGACGGCCCACGATACCACCCAAACGCCGTTCAGGTCGACCCCCGAGAGAAAGAGAGAGGGAGAGAGAGGGAGCAGGAGCAGGAGGAGGAGGAGGAGCGAAAGCGGCCCAATCAGGTCCGACACTTGACGGAAACAACCGCGAACACGTTCTGGGCGCAGCGAGAGGAGGGCCGAGGATCCCAGGCTCGGCTTGCGGACGCCACTAAGCTACGAGCAAGTGGCATCGGCGGCACGGGCGATGGCAGCACTGGAAGGTCGGGATCCAATGAGCGCGAGCAATGCGAATCGAAGCATGACAGGGCACCCGACGACGGTAGAACGACGAAGAAGCGCCCGTAATGGAGCGATAGGGATGGGAAGACAGGACGGTCCGAGCGTGAAGGGGGCAGGCAGGGGGGGGGCAACGTGACCGAGGAGAAAGGAGGGAAGAGGGGCACGGGAACGCCTGCAGACGCACGAGGAAGGCGGAGCGGAAGAGCGCAGCCCAACAGGCACGGAGAGGCGACGGGCTGACGTACGTGGAGGTGGCGCAAGGTGGACGAACACGCAAAGGACTCAGGACCGATCAGGTGCCACGAATCTGATGAGACGCAGTCGCGCCGCGGCGGCTGAGGGTACGAACTATTGCAGGACAGCCCGTCGCCTCCTCCGTGGACAGGCATACTCCTCCCATTACCCCTTACCTACGGGTCTGGTTGAAGAGGAGATAGGGGAGGCACGATGAGCAGGAGCACCCAAGATAGAGCTAGTTGGCTCCAAGATGACCTCAGGTAGCCCCATCGTGCTTCCAGGGCGGCGTGAGAATCCGCCAGCCCGCTCCTGTGTTTGGCCCGGCCGACCCAGCCGCTGGGGCCCGCCTAGAACGACCCGACCGCGAGGATGCGCCCGGGAAAGTCCGCCTGGTCGCGTGTTTTACGGCCACCCCGCCGGCTTTAAGATCCCGCACGATCGAACTTCTCGACCGACACGCTGGCTAACTTCCGCCTGTCCATCCCGCCCGATTGGCCCGCCCGACCAACCCGCCAGTTGGGGCCCGCCCGACCGACGCGCCTGCGAGGGCCTGCCCTCTCGATCCGCCCGTTACGGCCCACCCGATCGCTTGCTGGAAAGCCCGCCCGACCCGCCACTTAGGGCCCGCCTGCCCGACCCGCCCGCGAGGGATCGCCCGCCCGACCAGCCCTCAGAAGTCCGCTCGGTCACTCGCTTGCATCCCACCACGCCCCCTTTGAAATCCAGCTCGCCCGACCTACCACACAGGGCCGCCGGCCCGACCCGCCTGGCGAGGTCCGCCAGCCAGCCCCGCCCGCCGGGCCCCACCCGACCAACTCGCACAACAGGGCCCGCCCGCCCGGCACGCCCACGCAGGCCGGTCCGCCCGACCCGACTATGACGGCCCGCCGGGTTGGTTGCTACAACGCCCGCCCGACCGACCCGCTCCTGAGGGCCCGCCTGCCGACCCTCCCGCGAGTGTCCGCCCGCCCGACCCGCCTGGGATGGTCTGGCCGCTTGCTTGAACACCTCGCCAGACATACAGCCGAAAATCTGATCAAGAAAACTATCAGTGAAGAAATCTGGGCCAGCTTCCAGGAAGTTTCTGAAAACAAGCCTGGGCCAGTATCTACCGTTGACGCTGGAGGGGCGAACGTGCTCAAGAAACTGGGCCAGGTTTCCAGCAAGCAGGTCAAGAAACTGGGAGGCACGGCGGCGTGCAGGGCTACGCGGAGCCCTTTGAGACCTCGCAGCTCCGTCGGGGAGGGGGGGGCTGCGAACTGCGTCGCCACCTTCGTGGGCTCCTCGGAGCGGAGCGCAGGGCAGCAAGGATCCCTTTGAGATCTCGCGGCTCCATCGGGGGCTGCAAGCTGCGCAACCGTCGCCACCTTCGTGGGCTCCTGGGAGGCACGGCGGAGTGCATCGCCACGCAGATCGCGTATACCTCGCCATGTGTTCTTGTGCATGGAGCGTTCACAGAAACAGCCGCCTCGCGTGGAGAAATTGGACTGGGCACGTCTCGGGTACTTCAGTCGCTGCGAAGCATCAATGCGGGCACACATGACGCATGTGAGCATGCATTCGGCGTTTCAAAACTGGGCGAAGGAGGGGGGAAGGGGGGGTCTGGCTCGGGACCTCTGCTTAATGCCACTGTTTGCAGCAGTGCGTCCTATGGGGGAGACCCCACCTGCTCGAAACAGGTGCCAAAAACAGCCAAGATCTCCTCCATTGGGGGGGGTCGGGGGGTGCGAGGGCCCGCGCCGATCGGCATAACAATGAACAAGAACACGACGACCGTCGAGCCCAACATGCACTCACTGTTTGCAAGAAGTCCCTGCTATTTTCGGCGGGCCCCTCTCCCAAAGAAGGTACCCAAACAGAAACCGAGCCGCGGGCAGGCAGGCCCCCTCGTGGGATTTCCTCGCCTCGTCCCCGCCGCGCTCGCCGCCGCCCATAATCGCCACCTGGGGGCGGCGACGGGCGCAGGCAGCGCCGACCGCGGACCTGCTCCGGCAGCGGAGGTCGGGCGTCGCCTGGCCCCAGGGTCTCCGGGGAGGTCCCGCACGTCCTCCGGGGAGGTTTCCAGGGAGTTCCAGGGAGGACTTCCAGGGAGGACTTCCAGGGAGGAGTTCCAGGCAGGTCCAGCACGTCCCCAGGATGTCCAGGGAGGATTTTCAGGGAGGATTCCCAGGGAGGTCCAACACCCTTCACGGGGCCCAGAAGGCCCCAGAGGCTCCGAAAGGGCTCGAAAAGCCGCAGTCGCCTTGGGCCAGGGCCACCTTTGCCAACCACCGAGCAGGAGCGACAGTCCGTCGGTCAGTTTCATAAGTGTCGCCGCGCGTAAGGTAGAGAGGCGAAGGGAGCAGCTTTCTGAGAAGGCAGGGGGTCTCCTGGAAGGGCTCAGAGGCTTCTGGGAAGGCTTCCCACCTCGCGCCAGCCCCTGGGCTCAACTCCGCTCAAAACCGGTTCCCCGGATCGCTCCCCACGTGTATCCTGGCCGATTCCTCGAGCTGCGTCCATCCGTGGCGACAAGAACCTCAAAAAACGCCCGACAAACTCCGAAACGACGACGACGACGACGACCACCACCACCACCACCACCACGACCACGACCACGACCACGCCCACGACCACGACCACGACTACGACCACGACCAAGAGCACGACCACGACCACGACCACGACCACGACCACCACCACGACGATGACCGCAGCCCCCGCCCGCGGAGCCTTGAACCTCGGCAGCGAGACGTACCGCGGGGTCACGGGCGCGCCCGCGGCGACCAGCGCCGACCACAGCGGCACCGCGCGCGCGCGAGGCCCCTGCCGCATGGCGGCGCGGGGGCGCTCCCGCGGGCGCGCCGCGGGCGCCCGCCCAGTGGCCTCGATCGGCGGCGACGATGGGGGCGGATAGCCCAGGGGCGGGCATTACACGCATTCGCCCAGGAGCCTTTTCGAAGACACAGGTCATCGGCGTACCTGAATACATGGATTGCTCTCCCCTGGGCTATTCGCCCCTCTCGTCGCCTCTGACTCGAGGTCGCCTCGGGGCCGGGCCCGGTGCCTGGAGGTGGAGAGAGCCGTGCCCGAAGGGCACGGCGCCAGCACGCCGCGAGCCCCGAGAGCCTGGCGCCGCTGTGTTGTTAGCAGCGGGCGATTTCGCCCAGGGTGCCCTGCAGAGAGCAGAAAGTGCACCCTCATAATGATCCCCCCGACACGCGAAGCCGTTTAGCAAATGCCCAGGGCCGTAAGAAAACGCCAATGATCGGGTCCAAGTGGTTTTTCCTCCCTTGATCCTGGGGCCAGCAGAGATCGACGCGGCTCGACCAAAAAATCCGCGGAAAGACAGGATCCGGGTCTCCAGTCGCGATTTTTCGCGATGCAGCAATCTTTCCGCAACGTCGAATCGCAGGGGAGGAGTAGCGGGGGGGAGGGGCTATGCCGTGCACGGGGCCACCAAGAGGGCCCCAAGAGGTGCCCCCAAGAGGGGGAGATCGACCAGGTCTTGGGCGCCTCCTCCCCCCCCCAAAAAAAACAACCAGCAGAGAGGCCGCAAGGGGCCCCTTCAAGGCGCCTCCGGGAGGTCCCGAGAACTCCCTCAGGGGGCCTGCAAGGTGCCCCCCAGGGGAGGGGGGGGGCACCAGGGTCTGGGCAAGCGCGTTCCACTACCCGCAAAGAAACAACTCGCAAATCGCCTGGATCCGCCGCGGGGCAGTCACGACTCAGGACATCGAGGCAAAGTGTGTGTTTTGGACGTGTGCGAGGTAGGCACTTTGCGAGCATTGGAGCGCGCTCGGTGAGGGTCGGCGGGGACGGGGAGAGGCCAGGTCGAGGCCTGAGGGGGGGGGGGCCGGGGAAGAGCAGAGCAGGGCCAGAGAGGTGCCAGGCAGGCCCAGGCCAGGGACGTGGTCCGCTCCCAGGGCCGAGGAGGGAGAGAGGCGGGGGAGGTCGAGGGATGGCGTGATTAGGTCCCCAGGGTGCGGGGGAGGAGGTGCACGGAGGCTGCAGGACAGGTTACCCCGAGATCGGTGCCAAACATTACCAGGAAGGAGCCTGTGTTTTTATTGCTCAGGCAAATTTACTTGAATGGCGTTCGCTCTGCCCCCCCTCCCCTCGCCCCTCGCCTAACGAATGCCAGCGAGCAGGTGCCTCTAGACTTGCGCGATTTCCGCACGTGCAACTCGTTTGCGGCTTGCTTCAGGTTCAGCCCCCCCCTCCATGCAAACTTGCGGAATATGTTTTTGTCTTTCGGGGGTCGGACACCCAGGCGGAGGCCCGGCGTGCCTGGCCACAGGAAAGACGAGCGCTGGAAAGGCATGTGGCCGCACGTGCGTGCATCCAGCTCTCGCCCAGGCCGACAGCGTGCTGGCACGGTGAGGGCATTTTTGTTGCTCTTAAAGGGCCGCGAGGCCCGTGAGTGAATTCATGCAATTCTGCGTGTCCCACGCTAGGGTGAGGAATCCAGGGTCTGGAAGACGGTGGAACACCAATCGTGGATTGGTCATGGAGTTGACCGCCGCGCTCGTCAGATAAGGAATCCTCCAGGGTCTGCAACCTCCTGGGCACATTCCTTAATCAACGCCCCCACCGTACAAGAGGCGACATACGCACACGCATCATGAACTGCCAGACGGGATTATCGCAGTCTGGCTGGGCGACTGATCCTTGCTTTCGCTGACGTCGACGTGTGGCGTCGCCTGGCTCCATGAGGCCTCGAAGGCTGGGCACGAATGAAACAAATCCCACAAACAAAAAGCGGGCGTGCTTTTTGTGGACATTGGAGGCCTGGGGCATCCTTCGCCTCACAAATCGGCTCCTGGACCCAGAAGCCTCCAGGAGACCCGAATAGCAACGAAACCCGACCTTGAAACACGTGGGGCATGGATGAAACGGTGAAAGATGGTGCGGATGGGAAGGACGGGAATAGCCAGACAGCAAGAGGGGAAGAGAAGAACAACTAATGGGAGAATAAGGAAGTGTCATGGTTCCTATGTTGCCCATAAGGGGAGCATAAGGGAGCATAAGGAAGCGCCGCGTGGTAGATTTGTTTGCGCCGTCTTGGTTTTCGGAGGTCTGGCGAGGTTCACCGCAGACGTGACAAGCAGGAAAACACCCGATTATGAAAATGCCCTAGAAGATGGTCGTATTTTGTTTTCTGAGAGCCTCTGGTGGCCTCTTGGAGGCTCATGCAAAAAGCCTCTTAGCGGATTCTTCTCGCTTCGCGGGGTGCGCGTCCAGAAAGCGCAGAGTACGAGCGTTGTGGAGGTCACTGCAGGCATCTAGGGCGCTTCTGGGATGCTTTGGGGGGGCCTCCTCGGGGCGTGTTGGGACCTCTTGGGGGCTTCCGGGGTCCTCGAGGCCTCTGAAGGGGGGTGACTTGGGCCAGTTTGGGGCCATCCGAAGGCCTGCAGAGCAGCCTGTGGCTGTGAGAAGCCCGAAAAAACGTGAACGCCAAAATCCGCGGAAAACCAAAAGAAAATCTACGGTTTGGGCCTCTACCGTCCCGGGGGTCGGCGAGGAGCCCTCTTGGGCAATACTGGGGGTCTCGTGGGCCGTCTTGAGGCCGTGCTGGGCCACATTGAGGCCGTCTTGAGCCTCCCGAAAGCGTCTCGGAGGCCATCTTGAGTCGTCTCGGGCCCCCCTTGCCGACCCCGTGCAGACCAGGCACCAAACCTTCCACGGCATGGCTTCCGCCGCCTTCTGCTAGACTCTGCCAGATTCTGCCAAGAGTTCTGCCGGCCAGGTGCGCGGGCGGCGGGCGGACTCCGGAGGGGTGCCCCCTACCCCCCCCGACCCCAAAGGACAAAAAAAACGCGCGAGGAACGAATCGCCCCACAAACTGGCCCCAAGCCTCGATCCTCTGCAGCCTCCGTGCTAGACCCGCGACCCTCGATGCAAGGAAGAACTCGCTCCTCGATCGGGGCAAAACTCAAGTTTTTGCCCCCCCCCCCCCCCATGTTGCCAGCGGCGCCGAGAAGGGGATGCCAGCGGCGGCGAGCCGCCGCGTCGGGCCGAGCCGTCGGCGGCGCCTCGCCGCCTCGCCGGGCCCCGTGCTCGCGCTCGTGCAGGGGCCCTCCTCGGAGAGGCTCCCGCGGCCGCGTGACCGCGGCCACGGCCACGGCCGCGACCGCCGCGGCGCGGCGTGCCGCGGGGTGTCCCCGGCATGCCGGCCCCGGCGGGGGCCCTCTTTGAGGAGGCCACTGCCGAGGATCCTGCCTTCTCCGTGGACGGCGGCGGGTCCTGAGCGCAACGGGCGCTGAGTTTTGTCGACTGCCGCCTGCGAGCTTCCAGGGTCCCTCACGTGCACCGGGGCTGTGCAAAGCGACTCGGGAAGGGGAGCTGGCCCTGCTCCAGGTAGACGGGGCCCCGAAAAGACTTGACTCGTTCACCGGGGGCGACTTTTCATCCCGAGTCTCTTCTCGTTGACGGCCCCGTGGCCAAGCCAATCCCCCCACAGGCTGAAAGCTACAACGAGACCTCCTCCTCCTCCTCGACTTCGCTCCGTCGTCGGATGTCTCCCGAATACACCTGCGCCTCGAACATCGAGCCTCCATCTCCTCCGGGGATGAGGGCGCAAAGCCGACTTGCCTGGCTGATGCTGTGGGGGTGGGCCTGTGTTCAGGGGAGGTTGCAGCACCTCTGAATGATGCATTGCCAACTAAACCTGCAGGGTGAGCAGATTTCTGTTCCGTGCACTTCGGATTTGGTTTCGGTTTCAGCTGTGGGTGCACCGCGAAGCGCCTTCAGGCCAGCCAGCCCGAGTCGGTTCCTGGTTCGCGCGGGTGCCTCCCTCGGGTTGGTGGCTATGAGGAGTGACCTACGCGGGGGTGAAGACAGGTCCGAAAAAAGGCCCGTTAGGGCCCACTTTGGAGCCAGCAGGGGCCCAAAACGGGGCCCAAAAGGCCCCAGGTTGAGACTCTTGTCTTCACCCCCCATGTAGGTTACCCCCCAGTACCACCCGGCCGACTCCCTCCCCTCACCCCTCTTCCTGGGGGGGGTAAGCGCGCAAGCGCTCCTCTCGGCGGGGGTGCTCATCTCGCCAGGCGGCACGTGGTCGAGGGGCGCACGGCCGTCCACGTCCTAGGGGCGCGCGCGCGACGACGACGACGACGACGGCAGCGGCGGTCGGGCGGCCGCCGCGGCGACGGCTGCCGCAGCGGCGGCGGCGGCGGCGAGGACGACGACGGCAGCAAGGTCGAAAACGGCGGCGGTGACGAAGGTCGCAGTGGCACCATTGGCGATAGTAGAACGTGGTACATGCCGAGGCCCTTAACGAGCAACACGACATAAGTGAAACATCCGAAATCCACCCGGAAGTCAGCACGTTCCAGGGGTGAAACCCTCCTCCTCCGCCTCCTCCTCCTCTGCCGCCTCCACAGATTCCTCTGCGCCCTCCTCACCCTTCTCGTCCTCCTCCCTGCATTCGCCCTCTGCCTCCTCCGTTTCTCCATCCCGGGCATCTGCGCGCTGCCCTCTGCTATCGTCGTCCTCCTCTCTGCTGGCGGGGTCCGCCTGTGCGGGTGCCTCCCCGCCCCCTCTACCTCCTCTCGCCGGGTGGGATCCGCCTGTGCGGGTGCCCCCACCCCGGTGGGATCCGCCTGTGCGGGTGCCCCCGCCCCAGCCTCTGCCTCCTCCTCCTCCTCCTCCTCCTTCTCCTCCTCCTCCTCCTCCTCCTCCTGCTCTGCCTCTCTCTCTGCCTCCTCGCCCCTTGTCGCGAGCCCTCTCCGCCTCCTCCCCCGCTGCCTCCTCGGGATCCTCGCCCTGCTGGCGCTGCAGCTCCGCCTCTTCCTCTAGTAGGTCGTCCGCCTCCTCGTCCCCTGGCGGGTTCGTCCGCGCCGCCCCCCTTGGCGCTTGCCACTGTCGGGCCGGACACCTGGCATCCCAGGTGCGCTCCGCCACCTCTTCCATCCAGCGCAGGATCAGTCTGTCCTCCTCACAGCTGCGTCCCGCTGGCCAGCCCCACCGCACCTGCAGCTCGTCCCTCGGCCTGTCAGGGGCCCACGAAGGTCGGCACGCGCATCCCCACATGATGTGGTCCTGGTCTGGCAAGTCTGCGTCGCAGCCAGGACACACGCAGCGGCAGGCCTCATCGAACTTCTCTCCTCCCGCCGCTTTTGCCGCCAGCGGCGACAGGAAGGACCCGCACATCACGTGCATCCTCGTCCCCGCTCCGTCTCTCGCCGCCTCCCTGGCGAGCTTCACGCGGGCCTCGTCGCATTCTACGCCCTGCATCGGGGCCACGTCCCTCCTCCTCCTCTGGCGCTTGAACTTCTGCCAGTTCCACCAGCGCCAGCCCTCGCGCACCTTGTGCATCAGCCTGGCGTGCACATCCTTTTCCACCTCGTCCCGGGCTGGCCGCTCCTGCAGGTCCAGCTATGTCCCCGTGCCGGGGGGTACCAGGTCCAGGCGCTCACTTCCTCCTGCCAGCCCATTTTCCGCAGCCAGCGTACCTCTGCCGCCAAGGTGCCGCGATTGCGGTACCAAGTCGTGTACCAGCGGGCATTGCCTCTCCTCCGCAGCGCCGCATCGTGGCCACCTGCCGGCACCCTGGCACCATTGGCGACGACTGCTCGTCCTCGTTCTACCCCTCCCCCTCCTCTTCCTCCTCCTCCTCCGCAGCCTTCTCGTCCTCCTCCTCATCCCATCATCATCACCCAAGATGTTAATCCATCGTCGTCGTCGTCGTCGTCGTCGTCATCATCATCATCATCATCATCATCATCATCATCATCATCATCATCAGCATCATCATCATCATCATCATCATCATCATCATCACCACCACCACCACCACCACCACCATCAACATCATCATCATCATCATCATCATCATCACCATCACCATCACCATCACCATCACCATCCCCATCACCATCACACCATCATCACCATCATCACCATCACCACCATCATCATCATCATCATCATCATCATCATCATCATCTCATCATAAATCAAATCATCATCAGCATCATCAGCATCATCATCATCAGCATCATCAGCATCATCATCATCATCATCAGCATCATCAGCATCATCATCATGATCATCATCATCATCATCATCATCATTATCATCATCAGCATCAGCATCATCATCATCATCATCAGCAGCAGCATCATCATCAGCAGCAGCATCATCATCACACATCATCATCATCATCATCATCATCATCATCATCATCATCATCATCATCATCATCATCATCATCATCATCATCTCATCATCATCATCTTCATCTTCATCACCATCATCATCAGCATCATCATCAGCAGCAGCAACAGCATCAGCATCATCATCATCATTATCAGCATCATCAGCGTCATCATCATCAGCATCATCATAGGCATCATCATCAGCAGCAGCATCATCATCGTCGTCATCATCATCAGAAGCAGCATCATCATCATCACATCATCATCATCGTCATCATCATCAGCAGCATCATCATCAGCATCATCAGCATCATCATACTCATCATCATCAGCATCATCAGCATCATCATCGTCATCAGTATCAGCATCACCATCAGCATCGTCATCATCATCATCATCATCATCATCATCATCGTCATCCTCATCATCATCATCATAATCAGCAGCATCATCATAATCAGCATCATCATCATCAGCATCATCATCATCAGCAGCAGCAGCAACATCAGCATCATCATGATCGTCAGCATCATCAGCGGCAGCATCATCAATGTCATCCACATAATGATCATCAGAGGCATCATCATCATCATCATCATCATCATCATCGTCATCATCATCGTCATCATCAGTATCATCAGCAGCAACATCCATATCACGACCATGATTGTCACCATCATCACCATCCTCATCATCATTATCATCATCATCATCATCAGCAGCATCGTCTTCATCATCAGGATCGTCAGCATAATCATCATCGCCATCACCATCACCGTCACCGTCACCATCAGCATCATCAAAATCGTAATGCTTTCAGCAAACACAACACCATCAGCGTCATCGTCATGGTCATCGCCATCGTCATCATCATGGTCATCATCATTAGCATCAGCATCATCATCATCAGCATCAGGTTCATCATCATCATTAAAATAACTATCGTCATCGTTATCGCCATCGCCATCGTCAGCATCACCACCACAACCAGCATCATTGGCATCATCAGCGCCGTCGTCATCATCATCATCATCATCACCACCACCAGATTCCTCAACGTATTCATATTCATAATCATCATCAGTAGCAGCAGCAGCATGATCCATCATCATCATCAGCCTTGTCATCGTCATCATCGCCGTCGTCATCGTCATCGTCATCATCATCAACACCATCATCAGGATCAGTATCAGCATCAGCAGCAGTATCATAAACATCATCAGCATCATCATCGTTATCAACACCACCATCAGCATCCTCATAATGATCAGAAGCGTCATCATCATGAATATCATCACCATCATCGTCACTACCATCACCATCATCAGCATCATCCTCATCATGTTCATCGGTCTTCGTCCTCTTCCTGCTGATTCATAGTTTTCCTGTAATGATGTCCCTCCTCCTGCGACTGCTCACCCTCCTCCGGTTGGGTCATCGTTATGATTAGGGCACTGCTTGCGCGACGCCTTCCGTCACCCTGCGTCCTGGGAAAGCCCAGCGGAGTGACTGCTGACCAAGTCGGGACCTCGCGGCTCCATGGGGTCTGTCAACTCCGAATCCGTCGCCACTTTCGTGGATTTCTGAAATGTCCAGCGGAGCGACGCGCTGGGACGACCCACACGCTCCCAGGATGATGGAAATGGCGCAAGCGTCGACGCTTTCATGAGCTCCTGCGACGGCAAGCGGAGCAACGCGCTACGCGCACACAGACTTGACCTTGCGCCCCATCGGGGCTGCCAACTGTGCGAATGTCGCCGCCTCCGTAGTTTCCTGGAAGGCCTAGCAGACTGACGTCTTGAGCGCACACAGACGGGACCTCGTGCTCCCCTGGTGGCTGGATGCTGCGCAACTGTCGCATTTGCGAAGGTGCTGATTGGGGGACTGCCAACTGCTGAATCCGCCGCCTCCGCAGACTCTCAGGGAGGCTTCATGGAAGAGGATGCAGCTGTCCACTCTCCTCCACCATCCCTCTCCCCCGTGGCATCTCGGCACCCAGCTGCGGCGGTCCTGCGCGCCTGGGTCCGCCCCGTAGCGCAGCAGAACCTCGCTCGCGCGCCGCAACATGCTCGCGCGCGCGAGCCCGAAAGGACGCCTGAAGATGCGATGCCCCACCGCCGACGAGGGAAGGAGGATGACGACGGCGAAGGAAAGCAGAGGGCAAAGAACAAGGAAAAGGAAAGCGTTGAGACGAGGGGAGGGGGAGGGGGGAGGAGGAGAGGAAGAGAGAGCTGGAGGAGGGGTCACTCCCGCGAAGGGTGTAGCCGAATCGAGTGTCTTGGATCTGTCACCTCCTCACTATCTGTAGGATCGGATCCACAGACAAATCGCTTGACCACGAATCTTGCCCATGTTCCAAACATCTCAACTGAAGCGTGCCGATCGGCGTTGGACGATATGCGAATTCAGCTCTTACACCTCCGCCCGCCCCGAATCATGGCTCTCTGGTCTCGCACCGCTTGCGACGCGGATGGACTCTGCGCTGTTCTTGGTGAAGCACTACTTTGTTGCGCGCCCGCGTCATCCCCCCACGCGCGTGCCAGCGGCGTGCGCCGGGCTCGTCTCGCGCCGCTGTGACGCGCGAGCGCGCATCTCCAGCGCGCTCCAATCCCGCCGCGCGCCACGCGCGCGCACGTGCGAAGGCATCAGCGCGCGCGGGGAATCCCAGCGCGGGCGCGAACCTTCCAGGCGAACGGAACGCGCGACGATAAATCGCCCGACCAAACCGCGTGACAAATTCGCCACATGGTCAAAATCCCCAAAGAATCTACAATGCGAACGGCGTTTCCGCTATTTTTGCTGCACGTCTTCCAAACGCCTTGTGTCATCACCACTTCGGATTTTGTCGCGGCTCTGCGCCAGCGGCGGAATTTGTCATCCACCGCCTCTTTTTTGTCGTTGACAATTTGTTTTGACGTTTGAATTTGACGTCGGCCCCTTTTTTCCGTCGGTTCTTTTTGGGGTCCTTCACTGGCGGATTCAAAATTTTCCTCGGGCTCTTCAACATGTTTGGGGTCCCTCGCGGCCGGATCCATCAATCTTCCATACCTTTCACATTTCGCGCGCCCCCGTCATCCCCACTGGAAACGACGCACAGGCGGTGCTCATGGAAGTTCGATTTTTGGTCCTCGCCCGCCCCCTTGAGAGACCGCGACAACCGCTGGGGGAGGGGCTCAACGCTAACAGCGTTTGAGACGCGTGACGGGCGCCGCGGCTACATTCATACAAAAAATGAATATGATCCGAAAATGCTTATCGTTCGTCGTTTTCTGACCCTATGGAAATGGAGGGAGTAAGATTTGCAGTACAGGGTCCCCAGAAATCCTCACCCTTTCGAATTTCATCAGATCCGGGCGTCGCATTTGTTTTCGCAACTCAGGCCTCAGGGCCCTCATAAGTCGATCCAGCTCGAGAAATGCCGGAGGAAGTTGGCGTCTAGCGTTCGGGTCATGATTTCCCGACGCTGGATCTCAGGGTTCCCCAGGGCCAGCTGTTCGTCTCGAAAGGTATTTTGGCGCTCCTGGGGCCCCGCGAGGCGATGGCACCAGGAGGCACACGCAACACACACACACACACACACACACAACCACCCAAATTCACACACACGCATATATCTATATAGATATGTGTATGTATATACACATTTACATACACACATACATACATACATACATACATACATACATGCATGAATGCATACATACATACATACATACATACATACATACATACATACATACATACATCCATACATACACACATACATACGTACATACATACGTACGTACGTACGTACATTCATGGATACATACATGCATGCATGCATGCATACATGCACGCATGCATACATACATACATGCATGCTGATCTGCATACATACATACGTACATACATATATACATACATACGTACAGGCATGCACACATACATGTATGTGTATATACATACATACATACATACATACATACATACATACATACATACATACATACATACATGCATGCATGCATGCATGTATACATACATACATACATACATACATACATGCACGTGTACATGTATACATACATACATACATACCTAAATACATACATACATACATGCATACATGCATACATACATACATACATATATGCATACATACATACACATACATACGTGCATGCATGCATGCATTCATATCTACATACGTGCGTACGTACATGCATGCATACAGGCATGCATACATGCATATATACATACGTACATACATGCATACATACATACGTACATGCACATATCCATACAGATATGCACATCTGTATACGTGCATGCATGCATAGATGAACACATGCATGCATGCATACATGCAAGCATGCATACATATATACATATATGCATACAAAAAAGACATACATACGTACAAACAGACACACATACATACATGCATGCATGGATACAGACATACATTCACATATACCTACCTACATGCTCACACAAACATACGTACATATAAGCATACAAACCTGCATACAGACCTGCATACATACATGCATGCATGCAGACATACACACAGACATACATACACACCTATATACATACATTCAGACATACATACATACATACATACATACAGATGCATATAGTTATCAATATTACGTAACTTACACCTAATACATATATTACATCATTGGATATACCAAACTTATTATAACATATGTGTGTGCCAAGGGCCGTTCTTGTGATAGGCTGTTCGTCTTGTCCGTATTCTATGTCCTCCCTCTGTTAATTTATGTCGATCGTTTCCTGGGCCGCGGGTCCATTATCTGAGTCGTTAATGAATAACTGCCCTCGTCTCAGGGTGATCCTTTGGTTTTCTGAATCGCAGGAATGGCCCTGAACATACTTGTCATCATTGTCACCCTCGTCACCTGTATCATCATCAGCAGGTCTGGAGCTCATGACGATGATAATGATGATGATGCTGATGCTGGTGATCGTGATGATGAGGAGGAGGAGAAGGAACTAGATAAGATGAGTGCGATCCCGATGAGCATGATGATGACGATGAGAAGGAGGAGGAGGAGGAGGTGGAGGAGGAGGAGAAGTCACTACATAAGATGAGTGAGGAGGAGGAGGAGGAGAAGCGGCGACGAGGATAGGGAGGCGCAGGAGAAGAATTGAGATAATATGAAGCCGCGGATACGGACATGTTTTTCGCCCACGACCCACCCCAGGCCTTGCCAGCGCCCCGCGCGCGCGCGCGGCGCGGAGCTCCGAGCCGCCCGCGCGCTCGCGCCGCCCTGCCAAAGCTCCGGGGCGGAGCTCGAGCGGCGGCCGGCCGGCAGCAACAGGAGCCTGTTTCTTGTTTTTGTTAGCCCTGGCAAGAGTACCTGTATGGACCCGGGGGGGCCTGAGCCTGAAGCAATCCGCAAGCAACTTGCACATGCGGAAATCACGCAAGTCGAAAGGCACTTGCAAGCTAGTATTCGCTAGGGGCGGGGGCGGGGGGGGGGCGACTCTAAAAAAAGACTCCGGCGGCTGGCCGGCAGCAACAGCCCGCCTGGCGTGCACGCCACGCCCGAGGAGCATTCACCGTGCAGGCGCGGCAGACGCTGGCGGGGCCTGGCCGTCCAGGAAGCGCGCGGCGAGCACGGCCAGGGGCTCGCTGCCCGCGGCCTGCGGCCCCAGGCGCAGGAGGTACTGGGCCAGCGGCAGGCTGGAGGCGGCCAGAGCTCCTCCTCCTCCTCCTCCTCCTCCTCCTCCTCCTCCTCCTCCTCCTCCTCCTCCTCCTCCTCCTCCTCCTCCTCCCCCTCCTTCTCCCCCTCCTCCTCCATTACTTTCCCTGATTAAGAACTTGTCCCCTGTCGCACCCCGAGGCCAGTTTTTAGGGTGGGCTGGGCGTTTCGCCTGAGACTCTCGCCTTAGCGCGGCGCACATTCGCTTTTAATTATGCTAACGGAGTTCCCCACATAAAGATGTTACGGGGTTCCATTGCTTCTTGTCTGCGCTCTGGTGGGGCCTCCCTGGAGGGGTGGGAGGGGCACGAAACCTGATGAATAATATGGTGTGCGAATACCCTGCCCGCTCTGGTGGGGCCTCCCTGGAGGGGTGGGAGGGGCACGAAACCTGATAAATAATATGGTGTACGGATACCCTGCCCGCTCTGGTGGGGCCTCCCTGGAGGGGTGGGAGGGGCACGACACCTGATAAATAACATGGTGTGCGAATACCCTGCCCGCTCTGGTGGGGCCTCCCTGGAGGGGCGGGAACGGCACGAAACCTGATAATAAAATATGGCGTGCGAATACCCTGCCCGCTCTGGCGGGGCCTCCCTGGAGTGGCGGGAGGGGCACGAAACCTGATAAATAATATGGTGTGCGAATGCCCTGCCCGCTCTGGTGGGGCCTCCCTGGAGGGGTGGGAGGGGCATGAAACCTGATAAATCATATGGTGTGCGAATACCCTGCCCGCTCTGGCGGGGCCTCCCTGGAATGTTGGGAGGGGCGCGAAACCTGATAAATAACATGGTGTGCGGATACCCTGCCCGCTCTGGTGGGGCCTCCCTGGAGGGGTGGAGGGGCACGAAACCTGATAAATAATATGGTGTGCGAATACCCTGCCCGCTCTGGTGGGGCCTCCCTGGAGGGGTGGGAGGGGCACGAAACCTGATAAATAACATGGTGTGCGAATACCCTGCTCGCTCAGGCGGGGCCTCCCTGGAGGGGTGGGAGGGGCACGACACCTGATAAATAACATGGTGTGCGAATACCTTGCTTGCTCAGGCTGGGCCTCCCTGGAGGGGTGGGAGAGGCACGAAAACTTATAAATAACATGGTGTGCGAATACCCTGCTCGCTCAGGCGGGGCCTCCCTGGAGGGGTGGGATGGGCAGGATACCTGATAAATAACATGGTGTGCGAACACCCTTCCCGCTCTGGTGGGGCCTCCCTGGAGGGGTGGGAGGGGCACGAAACCTGATAAATAGCATGGTGTGCGAATACCCTGCTCGCTCAGGCGGGGCCTCCCTGGAGGGA